ATCATGAAAATCAGGCAGATGACAGAAACCAGGTAGAGCCTCTTCCTGGCAACTTTCCTCTCAGTCGCTCGATCCTCCTGAGCACGGCTGTTGTCATGGCAGTGCTTAATGTTACCCGTGCCATCTTTCTGTAAGATGTTGTGGTTTGGCACACTGGATACACAAAAACAGAGTGAATGCAATGAGTTGTGGACAAAATTTTTAACCCTTAACATTAACAAAAACTTCTAGAGGTAGATAAGTTACAATTAGGCAATAAAAATGTAAAATAGTTATAGTGGAAATGCCAACATTTCCCAAAACAATTAATTAGCACATCCTCATTTAGGTTTGACAGCATCTTCTGTAGATAATGGCAGATGGCTTGAATATGAATTGAGGCTGTGGTTTGGGGAAGGCCTCAGAGGGGACTGATGGCGGCTCCTGGGCCGAGCACATCCCCACGTTCTAATGAGTAGTAGATGGATAGAAAAAGAGAGGGTGGGGTATGAAAACAAGAAAGAACAGCTTATAGTGCAGCGGGATTCATATATAGATAAAGAACTGGAAAGGGAGTGTATGGAGGTGTGGTCCTGCTCCTGAAATGCAGATAAATTATCTCCAATTCTGAGGAAAAATGTGGATGTTTTGGAAAATTTTCAAGACTTTTAACTTTATGTGCTAATAGCAATGGCACATTGCTATTCTGCTTGTGTTTTAATTATGTCGTTGGCAGCCTTTTCGTTATTTTCTCTTGTTCAATGAAATAAATCTAGCCTGCTTTATGTTTGAATATTACAGTCAAGTTCAGAATCTGAGGTGGAAACGCAAAGTTTAATCACATTAACAGCAAATGCAAGATCTGCCTTTCGTGTAGCATCTGAGAGCTCTGAAATGTCGTTGAGTTTCCTCTAACTGTCAAATTTTTGCTCTTAGGTCCTATACTCTTTTTAGCACTTTGCCCTGATTGAAGCCGCTTGACAGCTATGTCACCATGTTCAGTCTCGTGATCCTCCAAGTCCTGCGATTCAGTGCTCTTACCCTAACGAAATTATTTTAGTTAAAACATCAACAACATGGTTATTTTTAGCACTAACGTACACACTTTCTGATGTATAATACAGTGAAAGATTTCTGTGTTCATTTCAGTAGCTTTATCTTGTATCCATTTCAAAAGTCATTTTTTCCTGTCAGATTTAGACAGCCATGGGTTTTAATACCTGACGGCTTTATCCAGTTCTATTAGCCTATCCACATATGCAGTTACCTCGATGAACAAATCGCATACATTTTAATCCTATTTTCCCGTTGACTGCATGCAGGTCAGTCAGGTACAGTCAGGACTAGATGTACCCTAAGTCTGATTTAAAAGAAGACATTCATACTTGTACAGTCAGGGAATCACTTAAAGGGATGCCTTTCACTAAAGAATAGCTATTAAAAGTGGTGAGAGTTCTGGTTGAACTGGGGAACAAAAACTTTGTTTCGAGAATGTTTGTCAGGCTTTTTTATGCCTAGAGTGTCTGACTGAGGGTAGGAGGTAGAACAAGTGCCACCCAAGGTGGATAAGTTTAATTATTTTCCTTGACTTCCTGAGACACTGAGAGCTGGAGATGTCCTTCAAGCAGAGCAGTGGGAAGTCACTTGATTCCTGGGCAGTGTTGACGACCATCTGCAAAGGTTTATTCTCCACTGATCAGTACCACACTGATGTAGTACACTTACAATGATGACTGAGGGGTAGAAGGCCACCAACAGCTTTTCCTCTATGTGACTGCTCTGCATAAACTATCAGGAAATGTATTCTCTATGTGGATTTTTTTTTGTTTCTTTTACCATTTCTGCTGTCTTGGCAGACCTCTAAGTGCCTCTGCAGTATGAGTTTTCAGGAACTTAAAGCCATAATCTGTTGCTTTAGTGGAGGGTTGGGCCTTACTTTTTATCATCTCTTTGGTTTTACTGGTGTTGAGTTTGAGGTTGTTTGCAGAGGACCACACAGACAGTTTCTGAACCTCATCTATATGTCAAGTTAAGTATCCAGCAACACAAGTGTCATCTACAAATTTAATAAGGGTGTTGGTGGGGTCCACTGGATTGCAGTCACGTTTGTACAAAACAAAAAGCAAAGCATAAAGGACAGGACTTAGCACACAGCCCTGACGAAAGCCAGCGTTAAGTATGAGGTTAGAGGAGCAGTGGGGGTGATTGTGTTAAAGAGACTTCCTGGGTGGTTCAGTGTGGTGAGGAGGGCTGTGGCTTTGGTATCCTGTGTACATTTGTTTGCTCAATAAGCAAACTGATGTGGATCAGAGTTAAGAGGGAGGCAGCCTTTGATGTGCAGTAATTCAAGTCTACGTTAACATTTCATGACTACTGATGTCATTGACTATGACAAACAGGTGGGAAAATCATGGCAAATTGGGACTGTTGTGGAAGGTCACACCAATAACCTATACAAAGATGACCATTTTCTCCTACACATGCTTGACATTCTAGCATTGGAACCATGTTTGGGATTTGGCAGGTGGAGAAACCCTAAGATTGGGTGAAGCAGCGCAATAGGAGGAAAAGAAAAACAAAAAACAAAAACACAAGCACAATAATTTCATTTGTGAACTGTGAACATCTTTGTGTACAGTCTGTGACCAGCTGACCTGTGCTGCTACATCAATGTTCACTGCTTTTTGTATATTTAGGACTGGAGATTAAGCAAATCTTTGACAAGCCGTATGGTAATGTACTAGTACATTTCTCGTATAAAAAGTAGAATTAGGTCAGAAAGCTGAGGACAGGAAAGTTGGGAAGTTGCAAAAAATGTAAATAAAAACAGAGTGTAGTGATTTAAAAATCTCATAATTCATAGTTTATTCATAGTATAACAGAAAACATTTCAAGTGATTTAACTGAGAAAGACTTTGAATGTCTCCTCATCTACAGTAAGTAGCATTTAAAAAAAATAAAAAATATCAGAGAATCTGGAGAAACCTCTGTGTGTAAGCGATAAGGCCGAAAATCTGTGAAAATGTATGATTTTTTTAGGCCCTCGAGCAGTATTGCTTCAAAAACAGGGCTTTAACGCGGAAATCACTGCATGGGCTCAGGAACACTTGTTGTGCAAAGAAGGAGCCATACAACAACATGATCCGGTAACAGTGTTGTTTTCTCTGGACCAAAGCTGATTAAAAATGGACTGAGGTTAAGTGAAACACTTTTTTGTGGTCAGACGAGTTGAAATTTGTAACCTGGAAAGGCACCATCAATGCTGAAAGGTATATACAGCTGTTAGAGGAACATGAGCTCCCATCTATGGAAGGCTTTTGATATTTTAGCAAAGAAATATTAAATTATACCCTGCAGCTTTTGGGGTTGTAATCAAAACCATCACCTTAAATATAATAATTCATCACGTATTATTAATCATTATATTACTATCAAGTTATTTCTGCTAACTGGCCATGAACAGTCAGCTCTGCATCAATCCAGCCACAGAGAATCAGTGATAACTTCACCAGTCTATGTTGTAATAGTAATTTTACAATGTATGTTGAAGGGATATTACTGCCCTCTGTTGGTGTGTTTGTGCATTACATGCAATAAAAGGTGTTGGTTAAAAACATCAGTCTAACCAGCGTAGCCGGTTAGACTGGTGCCTGGTAAATGGCCTATATTTGTATAGTGCCTGTATTTGTATAGCGCTTTTATGAATTCTCGAACCGGCAACCTTCCGATTACAAGGCGAACGATTACAAGGCGAACTCCCAACTCTTGAGCCACGATGGCTCGCAATGTGAATGCATCACAGGGATGAGAAGGAGAAAGCGCTTGGGAAGTCATTATTTTCTTATTAATGAGCAACCTACACACCAAGCTGCAGTCCACAAATAAATAACAAATTCGACAACAATGTGCATAAACTATCTTTACAGAGCTGTTATGTTACATTGTTATATGTCAGTGTGCGTTTTACCTGGATTAAATAAACGATATGTAAAAGTCACTTTACCAAAAGCTGCTTGCTCATTCTACTTCATAACGGTATTTCTTTCTGGCTCAGATCTGACTTGATGTCATCCATTATAGATCACCAAGTCCTTGGCAGCGGTTATATACCGCTAATCTTTTTTTTTTTTGCAAATACCGGTGCTCCAGGTTAACTAGTTAATCCGCATGACACACTGGCAGAGAAGACCACTCGATGAAAATGACCAATCTGTAAACAAATCTAACCAATTAGCATAAAAGCAGTTAATCTGGAACACCGGAAATCACTTTTTGGCACGACGATTGTTACACCTCATTGTAACCCCCCGACTAAAACTGACGTGGTCTTGTAACCTAATAAATAATAGGGCCAATAACAATATTAACATCAGAGGACACCAAACAAACAATCGCTGATTAACGAGTGTATAAAAGTGGGTCTATGCGCTGCTGCTGCACTCTGTGCACACTTCCCTATTAAGCAGAAGTAGAGCCGGCTAAATGAGCAGAGTCAGACACACATTTGCACACAGCTAATCTCATCAGACCCCCAGACCAGTCCAGTCCCGTGTGGAAAACCAGTAGGTCACAGAGGAACGTGAGCAGACACTCCCCCAAAGCACTTTGTAAAACTTTGAAACTACCCTTTTCTGTTTCTTTTGATTTAAAATACAATTTAACACCAAACCTTCAAGCACAATGAATATTTTTAAGCTTGTTTTTATTCATCTGTTTATTGTTGGAAACAGGGAATCACATGTTCCTCTACTCTAATCTGAAACACTATTAAGACAAACTTTAATCGTTTACCTTTCCGGTGTGCTGTATCTCTTCTTCTCTTCTGACACCAGGTGAAAATTCTCTGGATCCTTGCTTTTAAACATGACTGCTGTCTTCTCAGACAGTCGGAAAAATACTCAGACTAAAAACAAAAACGTATTTAAACAAACCTAAAAAAGAAGTAAAAACAATAATTATAATAATATAATATATAGATATATATATAATATAATAAATTAATGTTCAGTTATCTCACTTAAAATCTTTGTTTTCTTCTCTGATCTTGAGTTGTGCCTTCTTGAGACGTCTTTCAGCGGCCGCTGGATGTCTTCTCTAACGAATTGGGGTGCAAGGCGCAAAGACTTTGATGCAATCTTGTGACTAACGCTTTGCACCGTGTGCAAACGCAGAGCCGGCCGGCCCGAAGGACGGCGGGGGAGGTGATGGAACACATGGGGTCCAAAACAGACACACTTCTGTAATAAATGTAACATATTAAAGGGAAATAATTTGGGACGAAGCTCAATTTCCTAAAGCTAATGAATATTTTGTGTTTAAAACCCAAATTCAGCTTTGATTATTAATTCACTAATCGGGAGAGGATTTCACTGTTTCACACATCCCAAACTACCGCTCGAGTTCTTCGGGGTCCGCCCACCTCCTCTGATCAGCCGGCACTCACTGATTACATAATCAAACCACACGGGCCGTGCGCCCTTTCCTCTTGCGTTATCACTTAGCCATTATTTCCAAATTCAGCAAAACTCGTCTCCGATTAAAGCAGTCTTACTTAACACCCCGATTTTAACCCCCGAAAGATTCCCAAGCACCTGCACGTACAGTGGAATTAACTTATCAATGAGATACTTTATTTTTCACTTTGAATGGAAACAGCCACTCACACTGAGTCTTTATTGGCAGTGTGGAGCATATTGTTAGTTCAACCTGAACAGCTTTGCACTGAGTTGCAGAAACAGGAAAAAAAGGAAGAAATATTCGCGTGGAGCTGCAGGTAAAGAAAAGAAAAACGACACTAATTTTCAATCTGTGGGTGGATTAAACAGCAGCTATGTCGGTGATGTTTTTTATTTTGTTTATTCTTTATTTGGATCGGTAATGAGCCAATAACAGCCCCGGGGGAGTTTCAAGATAGTGGATGGGTAGCAAGTCTTTCTAAAAAAAACTTAGTCTCGCTTTTGTTTTGGCGACTGATTTAAAAAAAAAATACCAGAAGATGGCGACAAGGATCCACTTAAACAGACCTACGTGTCAGTCACTTCTATATACTTCATTAATTTAGATCTATGTTTCTATTTTTAAAGTGTGTCTTCATTCGCTTTAGTTATCAAAATGATGTTAAAAGAAAAACTCGGACTCGGATGAAATGTTTGAAAGAATAACTGGCATTAAAAGCGTTAGCCCTGCTGAGTAAATGCTGATACGTTACCAGTTGGCAGTAACAGTGTTTTTAATCTGATCGATCATAGAGATTGATTTTTTTTTTATGATTTTGAATAGCTGATCTGCTGGGATAAGAAGGTGATAATAGATGAAGAGAAAGGTGGTAAAGAGAGTGGAGGAGGCGAGGTCAGGGGAAGGAAATGAAAGAAGATGGAGAAGTTGGCTTCCCTTTGAGGAGGTGGTGGGATGAGTACAGATTGGAGCAATCACAGGGCAAACATTAGTATTTTTTTTCTTTCTTTTGATTGAATTAAACCTTTAATTCATAATTAAGCTTCCTACAAGGTGGTGATCAATCGCAATGATAATTTATTTATACAGTACATTCCTTTAAGATAAACCAGTGTAGGTCTGCGAAGTGTTAAGGCAATAAAAACACAAACAAAACAAACTTTATGAAAACATAAAATAGAAGTTAACACACACACATATATAAAGTTTTGAACAGTAAGCCTGTGAGAAAGGTTTTGAGTTTGTTCCAGCTGACCTCAGATCAGCGTTCGGCTTGTTCCAAAGAGCAGGACCACAAAAACTGAAAGCAACCTCAGCACACTTTCTAGGGACAGTTAAAGGATCTGCACCTGATGACCTGAGAGGTCTAATTTGGTTATTGACCCTGAGCAATTCAGAGATCCACTGGGAGGCCAAACTATTAAGAGCTTTATGAACTAACAGAAGGATTTTAAAGGTTAGCCTGTGTTGAGCTGGGGGCCAGTAGAGAGAGACTTGGATACTGGGGTAATATGTTCACATTTCCATGCACTACTAGCTTCTACTGCATTGAGTTGAAGTCATTTTAATGATGATTTGGATAATCCTGCATGGATTAATCCATTTACTGCATCAATTTCATAGTCACTTTATTATAAAAACTTGTTGACTTTTTATATACTTTTTAAGTCGTAGACGTCAGTTTTGGTAATCGTATTGATGTGTTTATCAAACTGAGGTGACCGTCCAAAATAATGCCAAGGCTCTTGATTTATTTGCTGTGTGTTTCAGAGAAGGGCATGATAAATATGAACAAATTCTCTGTCTCTGACTTTTTGAGTCAAGAATAAATATTTTTATTGTTTCTGTTCAGTTACAAGAAGCTTCTACATATCCAACAGTTCATTTCCTCAGTGCAACTTACTAGTTTGTGAACAGGAGATAGATAATATGAGGAAAATGATAGGTACAACCGAATGTCATCTGCAAAAGAATGAGATATTATAGCTATGATATGATTCTTTATGAAAGTACCAAATGGGAGCATGTAAAGGTTGAACAATAATGGTCCAAGGACAGACCCCTGAGGAACCCCTGATTGATTTTTTTGTTTTTAAGCGGACCTAAAACTACTACCTGAAGCATAAAAACTCTACCAGAAAATCCCATGGGAGAATGTGCAGCCATTTGTTCCCCAAAGATCAAGCACACTTGGGCTATGCAGCAGGATTTTCCACAAGACATCACATCAGTGCTTAAAAGCAATGGAGGGTTTGAAGGGTTTGGAGTGGTCTAGTCAAAGTCTGGATTTACATTTGATTGAGATGGGGTTTTTCACAACCGTAAACAGACCATTAATGCTGAAAAACCCTCCCAATATGGCTGAAGTGAAACAAATATGTAAAAAAAAAGGGTGGGACAAAATTTCTCCACAGCAATGACTAACTCAGCAAGTGCTTGATTGTAGTTCTTGCTGCCAAGAGTGACACAACCCGCATTAGGTTCAGGGTGCAATTGCTTTTTCACACACACCCAGGTAGATTCTCAAACCCCTTTTCCCTTGATAAATGAATCATAATTTAAAAACTGCATTTTGTGTTTCCTCAGATTTATCTAAAAGTTGTTTTACAATCTGAAACATTTAACTCTGACAAATATGGCAAAAAACAAAAAAAACAAAGGAGGTCTGAAGGGGTGGGGCAATACTTTTTAACAGCACTTCAATGTGCAAGAATACAGCAACATGATTGGTTCACACCATCTCTGCTGTTAGAAATGATTGTCCCATAGATTTCTTGTGCCATGTTTTTTTGTCCAGGGATACCAAAACCATGACGCTTACCCCAGATTTAAATCGATCTTACATTCAACCGCCGACAGGCTGAGACAAAGTGCCTTTTGCAGAAATATAATTGAGAGTTTCACCCAATGCAGTGTGTGACGTTAAAACACTTACATCAGCTCTTTTCATTCCTTTTGAAAGCAGCAGTGGGAACATGACACACTTGCACAATGAGACTTGAAGACTTTTTTAGCTCCTTTTGAGAGGGGTGACGTTTGCTTTCTTAAACAAGTCTAAAAGTGGAGTCAGTTTAACTCTAAAAATAGTGTGTTGGGGCTATTTTGGTCGATGCAGGCTCCGTACAGCCGGCCTGTGTTTGGTTTACCAAAGCGTGTGAATAGATGAGGAGTGGGTTGCCAGGGGCTACAGAGTGAAGGGAAAATGGCATGAGAAGGGTTAGTTACACATGGCTGTTCACACTGTTCTTTAGATCCTGACCCTGACGTAGGCCACTCAGGGCAGTGAGTTCTACGTACACCATAGGACTTAATGTTTATGTCTCTGTCAGCATCATCACCTTCCATCATCTTTTAACAGACCAAAACTCACTGAAGCTGTGTGAGTTTACACAACAGGACCCTTGTGTCATCTTCAAGACAACCACCGGCCTAATTCCCTCATCTCCTTCCTAATGATCTCTGTGTTTGTGTGTCTGATTTAAAAAAAACAAAAAAAACAAAACAAAAAACCAAACAGCTCCACATCAGGCATCCGGACAATTCACTGACGTCATACCAGCTCGGTGGCATTCGCCAGACCAGTGCTACCAGTTCACTCTGCCAAGCAGTTGGGGGCTAATGTTTGCGAAACAGACGGCAAGAAAAAGGAGGAGAGCAGAGGGAGGGAGGAAGGAGCATGTTTGAAAGATGAGAACGGGAGAGAGAGAGAGCTCCTCTTAAGTCCTCCGAGCTGGCAGGGCTCATAACAGAAGACGAGGCTGTTTGCAGCTGCATTACGGCCGAAAACAGGCAAGACGCAGCAGAGGGTGTAGAAGAGACTCCGGTTAGAAGAACTATCACTGACCTAACATGATGGAGGTGGTCCTAACAAGACTGCGGGACTTCTCCTGCAAGACCTCCACCTTTGATGACTGCAAGGGAGCACAAGAGAGCACAAGCAGGGACCCTGAGGCCAGAACCAACCATGTCAAGGAAGGGTGCACATCTGGTGGAGAAGCAAGCAAACTGGACATAGAGAGTGCACTGGCCTGGCTGCGAAGGGAACTGGTAAGACTGGGACTCTGATCGAGCCTGTAAGGGAAACGGTGTATCCCTAATAAATTTTGTCTTGCTATACGTATATAACACCTGCAGATTCCTGTTTCCTGTTACAACTATATTAAAGCCCTCTTTAGTTTTATTGTGGCAGCTCATGTTAGAGTTGTACAAAACTATGCGTTCTGGGAATAGGGGGTGTTTATTTACACAATAAAGATTTAAAAAATATTATTTGTCTGTACTAAAAGCTGCATGCAAAAAAATATAATCTTGTGCATGTAAAATGAAATTTAAAACACTTTCAGAACTTTGGGTCAGTGCGATTCAAAGTTCTGTGTAAGTCAGAGTCAATCATTGTTGATGAAGAAATAACTATTTCGTATATAATTTCCTTAAATCTAGTAAAATGTTGCAGTACAATAGTACAATGTTGTTGTAGTAAATGTTCTAGTTAAACAAATTGATTTTGTTGGACTTGCTTAATCTGCTGACCAAATTCATGAATTTATTTAGCAGTTTTAGCCAAATGATGGAATATGACAAACATTACTGAGTTAGTTCACTAAGATTAGAAATCTTGTCCCATAGTTTTGCATTTTTCTTTTTCAGACAGTAAGAGTGGCCACTGTTCAGCAAATATTTCATAGATAGGGCCACATTGGCTATATTGCTTCAGGAAACAGTCTAAATACTTCCTTCACCACTGATGTGTGTTATTTTCTGATCTGCACAGGTAAGAGTAGACTTTGAAATTTCGGGGTTAAAATGACCCTTTTATTTCCAAAGTGAATTGTGAAATGAGTTGAATTCAACAGATAAACAAAGCATGAATTATTGTTTTGAAAGCATTTTATTTTTCTATTCAACCAAATTCAAACTGAGGTGAATATAAAATATCAATTTTGCTCATTTACTAAACAGCAACAAAATCTATGACCTGTAAATTCTTCTGCGTGGCCCTTTTGTGACGTCTGTGGGAAGTCTAAAAACATTTTTATTGTCTGTTGTGATAAAGATCAAGTCATTTGTCCCACCATCAGAACGACTTCTATGGTCAGCCCTGATGTTTTTGTGTGTGAGGCCCAAGTTATTGCCTTCTTTGTTCCTCCGGCTCCATGTAAGTCATGTTCTTACAACGTCACACCCTTTTAAACCACCGTCACCATGCAAAGAGGCTGTGTGTGCATGTGCTTGTGTGTCTGCGAGTGCAAGGCTCATTGTCACGGCTTGATTTATCGCTTGGCATTTATTGCGACTGCTCGTCATGGTAACCGAGTGTCCTGAGCACACAGGGAAGAAAACAGTCTGAGCGGGAGCCGGACAGAAGAGCAACAAGGAGAAACAGAGACATCCTGGAAACAGGCCTCAGAGGAGCAGCAGTGAATGAGATCCTTAAATTGTCTGTTTCACCTTCCTTCAGATAGTTTAAAGGAGGTGCTCAGGCTAAAACCTTTAACCTTTAAATTCCAGAAATAATCCACAAGTCTATTTATTAGATGATGTCAAACTTTTGACTCACATTGCATTTTTTTTTTATGAGCAGGACGAGCTTTGCATGTAAAAATACAAAATTACAGTCTCCGTTTTTTTGTCGCACTTTGGCCTCCTTAAATAAAATAAATTCAGATTTTCAGAGTTTTCTGTTTATTTATACATATGGTAACACTTCATAATACAGTCAATGACAAAGTATGTAATTCTCCTGTTATCAAATAGAATTTTATGTGTTTTATTTAAAATGACAATGTAATTATATTTACCTGCAAATACTTAAAGATAACCAACACAATAAAGGGGAAACAAATCAGGTTTTTACAGGAAATGCAGAAAAAGCTATAATGTAAATAAATTACACATTAATTATAAATAAATAAAAGTAGTGAATAAATCATTTTAAGTGGTGTAGAATTTATGGTAATTTTACAGAAAAGCAAACAATTTCCCCGTCTCACATTGTAAATATACTTTATACACCATGGCCAGGCCATATTATGGAGTGGATTCATCTTGCCTGTTTACTTTTTTTTGTTTTGTTTTGTTTTGTTTTGTTCCATTACTCAACTGTCCTTTTATCAATTTAGAAAAAATAAGTACCATCAAAAATTGCAGGCCTATGTGACCTTATCGTGATGGGGTCAAGTCAACTTAATGTTCTTTTCTTTTACAATCACTATTCAAAGAAGACTTTTAAAAGGACCTCCTTTCCTTTAAAATACCTGGAAGCCAAGGTCAAGCCACTCCATAGTGCAATCCGCGGCCATGAAAAGTACAGTGTACTTAATCATTTGTGTTTCCTTTCTTGTAAAATACATGAAGTTATGCAATACTTGAAATTACTTGTGCATTACTTAAAATGACTTATAGAGTACTTGAATTTGTTTACAGTACAATTATTGTAAAACCTGGCTTTTTACCCTCTTTTTAGTGTACTTACCTTTAAGTATTGTAGGCAAATATAATCACATTGCAATTTTGAATAGAGCACATCTGTAGATGTGATTATTTAATGCATACAACAATCCAAAGATCTTTATTCACTCTGGAAAAATTTTTGCTTCTTCTCATCTTAAGGTTGATTTGTGGCTTTTCTAGAGCTTTTGATCAAAATGCATTAGGGGGAGAAAACAACTAAACTAAAGTCGAACTAATAAATCTATTGTTTTCTATGTTATTTACTTCATTAGTTTCTAAACTTAACATCTTATTTAAATCACCTAAGGAGATTTTTTTTATCCGTCTCATCATTTTATAACGATTTATTGAGTCAATGGGTTTAACTCATTCACTGCCAATGGCTGGCAGTGAATGAGTTAAACCCATTGACTCATTCACTGCAATTGACGGCTATAGACGTCAATGGCAGTGAATGAGTTAACTTTCTTTTAGCCTCATTCAAAGTAATCTTTATCATAACCTTATATTTAAAGACATTTGAATTTACAATATGATCATTTCCCCCAACCCATAGCTGTTCCACTTTTTGTGTTCATGAGATGAATTTAATGACACAGATGCCTCTATGGTATTATTCTCCCACACTTAAACGAAGATAATTAAGGATAGAAAAAAGAAGGAAAATGAAACAGACACACCAAAGACAGAAGATGCATTAAGTATCGCTTATAATTCATAAGCAAAATGTGATAAAATATCACCAAAAAGTCCCAAAGCTTTGTGCTGAGGATGAGGTGGTTTTTTTCTGTGGTTAGCATACTCCCTGGAAAAAAAACCCCATCTACAGACAGAAGCTGATTTGAGAAGCCTCTACATTATTTGAAAAGGACTAGTGTTTGTCATAATGAGGTGAAGCCCAAGATGGCTCGATCTCAAAGAAGAAAAAAAGAAAATCACGGTTTTCTCTTAATTAAGTGTTGACAAAGGAAATACAACCAGAATCTTTTATGCACCGCCTCAGCCTCAGTTTGAGCCTGGTGCTGTAATTAACCGAGAAAAGAAATGCAGATCGGCCCGCATTCCTGAGTGCTTTGCACAGACTTGGACACTCGATGGAATTCTGAATATCTTATTTTACAATGCCAGTAGTTGGACAGCCTCTCATAAAAAAAGGAAAAGAAAGGGAATGACAGAAAGATCCATTTGCATTTGAAAGAGGGCAACACTCAAATGAAATGGCTTACGGTTTCAAAGCGAGCACAACCTGCTCAGCTTCATCGAGATGGAAAGAAACTCTCTGAAGTTCGCTTCACAATTCTTTCATTCACAGTTTGGTATTTGGTCCTATTTGTCTGTTTGCTCTGTGCTTCTGTGAAATCTAAACAGATGTGTCCTCCGTGTGTAGATGGAGATGCGTTCTCAGGATCAAGCCCTGATTCGACAGCTGATGGAGCTTCACTCAGGCATCCAGGAGCTCAAGCAGGAGCTGTATGAGGAGGAGCAAGAGGAGGAGACGTATGAGGAAGAAGAGGAGGGGAGCTACTGGGACTCTGAGAGTGAACAAGGAAGCGGCAGTCTCTACTCCAGCTCAGTGGAGGGGGGCTTTTCCATTTCCTGCCTAAAGATGCCTCAGCAGCTTTATTCGGGCACTTTATCGAGGAGGATGTTCTGCAGGAGAAGCTCTGTGCCTTAAAAAGTCAGACAAATTTTTCAAAAATGTGCCTTTTAAGGCAGTTAACATAGACAAGGTGGAGTACGGTGACCCCATTTTCCACCGCTTCACTTAAGAAAAAACAAAGCTTAAAGTCATTTTAACTTACGGCTGCATACAAACTAGCCAACAATGTCATGGCTTATACTTTATTTTTATTTTCATAACACGAATATGACATTGTAAATGAAAAAAGGCACCTTAGACAAAAACAAATGTTTTTTTGGTTTTTTTTTTGCAAAACAGGCTAATTAGTAGTTGTGGGGCACAACAGCCATGTTGTTTTTTTGTTTACTTGTTTGTTTTTAGTGTCAAAACGTTGAGTATATCCATAAAAATACATGCTGGTGAGTTATAACACAAGTCATCCACCTTCCAGCTCGATTAATATTCATAATAAACACGTGTTTGTTTGATTTTTCTGTACCAAGACGTAAGCTGGGAGTTTTTACATTGGAGTCTAACAGGATGAACTACTTTTGGAGTCACCCTCAAGTGGCCATTAGAGGTACTGCTGTTTTTGACAGTTCTGTTTTGCCTATATTTTTCAGCCATGAATAAATTATCATTTTATTTGCATATTACTTTTCAAAATAAACGTCACAAAGTGCTTGACAACAAAAAGGATAGAACATCAAAACAAAAACAAAACAAAAGACAGCAAATGGAGTTTAAAAAGATGAGTTTTTAGCTGTATTTTAAGTCCGCAAATATCAGAGTCTGGAGTACACTGTCTCCTTTAATTCTCAGCCTTTTATGATGCACAGCCAGCAGGTACTGATCACATGACCCCAGGCACCTGTTGGGTTGTATGCATGTAAAAGTTTACTGGTATACTCTGGTGAGTGTCCATGCAGAGCTCTAAAAGTTAAAACAAGAATCTTAAAGTGGAGTGTGAAGTTGATGGAACTAAATTAACAGTGTGACATGTGAGAAAAGAGTACACCCAGGTTTACTGAAGTCATAGTTATGTGAGTGGTTTTCCTACAGTTTACTACAGATTAAATAAAAAAATATTTTTTTAAAGAGTATGATGTAGCAGGAAAAGTAGGATTCATGATTCATGCTGTCTGGAGTATTTTATTAGCCAAACTAACCCATCAATGGCTGTAGCATCATACAGTATATACATTTCCAGTATGTATATATTGTTACTTTATATTTTAGTATCTGTATTAAACAATGACCTAAAGGCAGTCTTTTGAAGCACTGTGTTAAGCGTTTTCTCTGTCTAGACAAATATTAACATGTACTGTACAAACATGTGAACATGTCAGTAACTGAAAGCCTGAAAAGTCACTGATATTTATTCTGTCTGACCAGAAATGTAATTCAGTAGGTCAGCCTGGAGGTTGTTTTTTTTATATCTCCATGTGTTCATTGTAACTGCAGATAACTATTCTGATTTGACATATGAGTTTTTAAAATGCTCTTACATGTAGATAAAGATGGTCTTTTTTGTTCTTGTTTGGGAGTGACACTTGAATGTATTTATTAACCATTCCTGAATTTTATAGCACTTTTTAAAACAGGTACTGCAGTGGTTACAGTATGCCAGCTAAATAAAGACGCAAAGACGGTGACATTGTACATTTTACTTCTCTTACATTCACACATTTATGTCTTTTTTTTCTTTCCACTTTGTTTATCACAACTTTGTGTAAGTGCAAATTTTCTTCAAAAAAAGAAAAGAGCAGGATCAAAGACAATTCAACATATTGCAACCTTCTTTTTTTTCACTAAAGGTATTTTACATGCAACTGCTAACTAACTTCCTTTACAGTGATACAACTTATTATCATAAGCAAGTGCATTTGAATCTTTGCATCACAGTCCTTACTTTCTCCACTATTCATTCCAGTAAAAAAAAAAAGACTTTTGCTGGAGCCAGTTACTGGTGGTTACCCCCTTCTACCTCCACACATCCAAAACTCTCCCTCCTTAGTCTCTGGATCTCTGTGTTGAGCCCCAGCAGTGTCTGAGCCAGCTGGAGGTCCTGGGAGCGCATTTCCAACTGCATGACAACAATGAAAGAAAATAATTAGCATAACCAAGCTACACATAAAATTACTAGTCCTTTCCTTTGATTTTTCATATGCATGAATGAACTTGGTTAAAAATAATAGATGAATAAAATACCCATGACTGTTGAAGCCACCTGTTGAAGGCTAAAGATAAATAGCAAACAAAGTCAGATTTTTAAGATGACCTACCAGTTCAGACCTCAGCCAGGTTATCGCTCCATCTATCTGTGCCCGCCGCAGCTCTTCGTTTGCTTGATAACTCCTGCCCACGCTGACCGGTCTGACTGTGGAACCAGAGTCCTGGAGATCTGCTCGGGACTCTCCTGTCACTCTGAAGGCATCAATTAATTTGTTCTTTATGTTCTCCAGAACCATAGTTGACAAAGTGTCCTCACTGTGACTGTCTCGATCCATGCTCGGAGGATACAGATGTGCTGGCTGCTATGATAATGTTCCTCCCAGCGCTTTCTTTGACTGACTGATAAACACTTTGTCATAAAGCTTTCGGAAATGCTGCCTGCCTCGTTGTCTTCTTTACACAACACTGCCCCCCTTTTACAGATCCTCACCAAACTGGTCTTCCTCCTTTCCTTCTGTGGACAGGGCTCTACTCCACAGGTTTGTGTGTGCCTCCTCAGCAGCTCCAATAACCTTTTTGCCTGCTTGGTGTTGAACTGGCCTGTTTTGTCATTGTTACTATGGAGAAACACCCTCCGCCTGCGTGGCCACCTCCCTCCTCCTGCTTCTCCTCCTTCTTTCGGTAACCCTTATAAGAATAGTGGAAGATCTTGGACAAAGACTATTGTTGCCTCCAAAAAGAACTGAAAAGACCCCTCCAACCGGTGCCACCACACCCTCCCCCCCTTTCTCTACTTCTTTTTCTCTGCAAATCCTGCCCCCATACAATTCCAGTGTGAGAAATGTGCTGTGAGTGAGCTCTCATTTGGACAAAGTGCCAATGTGTAAACCTGTGTGTGTGCGCCCCCGTGTACGCCACACACAAAATCCATGAAATCCCGGTGGACTTTTTCAGTGCTTCTCCCTAAATAAGACTTGCTTGTCAGCTTAGGAGACAGACAGGTTGTGCGAGGAGCAGACACAGCCTCAGTGTTGCCTGATTCAGAGGCACAAAGGCCATCCTACGGTGAAATATAACCAGGGCCTTTGTGCCCAAGTTAAGTCCATTCCCAGTGGGGTTTGTGGGATGGTTTTTGGCAAGAGTAAGCAGTTTTTTTCTCCTGACTTCTATATTGAGATGAGACAGGGGTCCGGTGTATTTTCCAGCCTAACTTATGAGCCTGGCTGTGAAAAGTGAGAGGCCACATTTGGAGGCGACATCACTATCAGTCAGTGCTTTCAAAGTGCACAGCTTTTTCTCAAAGTAATTCTTTACTCTGACAAAAGTGTTTATGTGCGTGAAACCGAATGAGACCTTGTGATGTCAGCCACTCGGCCAAGTTCTTCTGCACGCAATCGCCATTAAATAAATGGCTTTGATTTGTAATTCACTCATAAAATGATCTGCAAAGATGGATGTGAGAGTGTCTTGAAGAACTGGATGGAGCGGATCACTTGTCAAGGCTCGTAAGGTGTGAGCTATGACTCCATTTGTGCAGAGGTCTGTGGAGCGAATGAAGGGGTTGGAAAGATTGAGTCATCAGTCTTGAAGGTCAAGGAAGCAGGGCGCATGCAGGACAGAAATGACAAGGAAAAACAAGCTGCCAAACACACAGACTGAGCCTCAGGTGGTGAAGAAAGGAGCGGCACTGATCTCTGTCTCTAATTGAGCCTTACCTCATTGAGTTTGCTTATACAAGTGGGCAGGGATAGCTCAGTAGGTAGAGTGGTGGCCCCGTGATCGGAAGGTCAGGGGTTAGATTCCCCTGAACAGCTACCCTGAGGTACCCCTGAGCAAGGTACCGTCCCTACACACTGCTCCCCGGGCGCCCAATGGCTGCCCACTGCTTCACTGAGTGAATGGGTTAAATGCAGAGAGGAATTTCCCCACGGGGACCAATAAAGTACTTTCGTTCTTTCTTTCAAATGGTTGGCCAGCACAATGGCAATTCTTGGGGAATCAGAAAAATGCTCCCAAAACGTCTTTACCGCATTCTCACTTTCACACTGTTGTCAGATTGAGATTAGACACTTTGGTTGACAAAAGTAAGGTCATACAAACATAAACAGCTATATGTGACCATGAAAGTATATAATCTTAAAGAAATAGGTCTGCAAATTAAAGAAAATGCCTAATCAAATATTTAGTTACTTCTAAAAATTACTCCACAGTGCCAACAAAAGCCGATAGTCAAGAAAAGCAATTTAATTCAGCCTAGCAGCAAGCAGATTATAAACCAAGCTTTAGCTTTGAATATCCCGGATGAGCCCCCAATTGTTACAACCGTGCCTCGGGAGATGAAAACATAAAACACAACACAAACAAAACTTTTATATTTATTAAAAAAGTTAGATTAAAAGAAACAATGTGAGAGAATTTCCGCTGACTGTATCTTGTATATTAATTCAAAATAAAGATACAAGAGTTCCTCGTTCTGAACCAGGTGGCTCCACAGGATTAGTAAGTCCACATATGAAAAAATGTTTGATTACCATTTAAAAAATAGATTATTTATTATTTACTTATTGTTTATTGTTACAAAAAACTAAATCATTCATAGGGAAATAAGGTTATTTTTATGGGAAGAAAGCAGTTGGGGCAGGATTTACGGCCTGGAAGGCCCAGGGGAGCACATGTCAGCCAATTGTTCCTTAAGACTGGATGGGCTGCTTCCAGTAGTTTGGAGTAAGAATGCAACACTGAAGTTGCTGAGAGACCTGACTTGGGTTGAGATCTGCCAATAAAACCTTTGGTTAAAAGAATAAGTCCACACCTTTCTTCTTAAAAGACTGGACTATTACACACTTCCTGTGCAAGCTACAAAACACCAAAAATTTAATTTTTTTGTGTGTGTGTAAAAATGTGCTAAGTAAGTATTTCAAGATGATGCTCTCAGTCAAGTTTCCCTTTGTACTTTCTTTTCATCGTATATTTGTATTGATATATTCTGTTTTAAAGGGCTAACCAGCACTACTAGTTATGTATCATTCCTGGTGCATAATCAAATAAAATAAAATAAAAATTAAAAAATACAAATACATTATGTTGTGCAACGTTTAACTACAGCATACTTTTTACTATCCACATGCAGTACATTGGCTTTTATTGCCAATCATGTTTCCTTTTAATCCATGGGATAAAACTTTTATTTGTGGAGTAATTAATATAAACAGATATCAAGAAAATAAAGAGGTGGACTATTAAATATCATTTCATTCATCAGTTAACAAAGAGGTAAAGCAGACATTGTCTAGTACAAGTGCAAAGACTAGGATTACATTTTTTTGTGAGCATTATTTATCATGATCAGCCATGCTAGGCAAATTCTTTTCCCCACTGATCTTGTGAGTATTCTAATTTCAGATTTATCTTGAAGCACAAATTCCCCCACCATGGATTCAAAACACAAAAACGCCTTTATTTCGACTTGACTAGGCAGAACATTAAATTTTAAGGATATCCATCAAAAATAGATAAATCGTTGTAATGAACTGAAAAACTTAAGTCATCCTGTGCAGACTGTTTAACTGTGATTTCACAGATGGAAAATAAGTATGATTTAAGTGTCATTTAAACACTAAGATATCTAGACAATTTTCCATAAAATTTAAATCTGAATTTTTCAGACAGCTCAAAGGAGTTGGATTTGGACCATTTCTTTTAAAAGATATGGCATTATTATTACTGAAATTATTAAAGCAAACACACTGCTTTATTGTTTCTTCATTAGCTGTATTCTGCACAGTCAGGTGATCTTTTCTGCTTCTGAAAAACTGCAACATTTACAAGTAAAAATCTGCCTTAATCTTTCAGCTACTGCCTCCTGCTGGTACCTTCAGCTATTTGCAGAAAGTCACATGACAAACTTGAAAGAAAAAAGGACACACACAGAAGCTAAATCCCTGTATTTGTAAACTGATCTTAAACTAACTCTGATTCATGTGCCTGACCCGAGACAACATGTGACTAACTCATTTTCCCTTTCCCTGATATGTGTGATCAAGCATGCTGCAGCAGCCCGAGGGAGTGCAGAGCTCACATCTGCTGTCAGCTGAGCTGTCCAAGTGTCACAAGAGCAAAATTACTGCAGCCCTAACGGGACCACTGTATGAGTGTGGAGCAAAGCAGCTCTTAATGTAACAAAGTGCTTTAAAACACAGTGAAAGAAAGAAATCAGACTCTTTTTCAACATGTTGTCAGTGTCATTCTGTCTGTAAACATGATAGCTCAGAAAGTTTTGAATGAATTCTAATAAAACATTGTAGGGTTTTATTAGTGGGATCATGTTAACAATTAGTTAAAATTAGGCAGGTAAAATTCACTGAGGACTTCAAGGCCAACTTAACGATTTATTGGTCAAAAATTGACAAAACATCTTATGAATGAGAAAATATTATTCTTACAAGTGTGATGTGCATAATTATTAACATATAGAGCATAGCTTATGAAGATTTAACATACAATGTCACATTTGAACTTTAACCTCGCCTTCAAGATCAATAAATTGCACTGATGGTTGATAATAATGATGATAATAGTTGATAATAATGCTACATAGACCAATTTAAAATGATAATGAAATGTTCACATGGGATGCTTTTCAAGTATGTTACAGTTACAGATATGTATATATGAAAACAAAAGGAGTACTTTTCTATGGCGTGGTGTGCTGGGGGAGCAGCACAGCAAAGAAGGACTCATCCAGGCTGGAGAAACTAATCAGGAAGGCGGGCTCTGTGGTCGGCATGAAGCTGGACACTCTGGTGACAGGGGCAGAGAAGAGGACCTTAAAGAAACTGATGGACATTATGAACAATGCCGGGCATCCTCTGCACACGGTCGTAAACAATCAGAGGAGCCTATTCAGCGACAGGCTGCTGCTCCCAAAGTCAAAAACCAACAGACTTAAAAACTCCTTTGTCCCACACGCCATCAAACTGTTTAACTCCTCACTGGAGGGGAGAGGGAGGAGAAACAGGGGGACAAGGGAGGGCGGGAACAACTGAGCTGTAGGTGCTTTTCTACACTGTGCAATATTTGCAATATTTGTTTTTTGTTTTGTCTTTATTTCTTATATTCGACTGTGCAATAATCACTGTGCAATATACTCACTCAAATGTGCAATCCTATTCATCCATATTGTATATTCTGTATCTATATATGTGTATATGTGTATATGTGGTGTATTTATGCTTATATCCTTACTCTCATTCCCCTTAATGTATCTGTAACATGCAACTTCTTTCGGTGCTTTGCTACTGGAAACTGAATTTCCCGGAGGAACCCACCCGAGGGATTAATAAAGTTTCATCTAATCTCTAATCTAAAATAAATAAATCACTTGTTATTTTAAAAAGAACAGAGAAAACAAAAATGATTAAACACAAAACCCAATACTATTTCCTTAAAAGTAAATATGGAGAGTGAGCTTCTTATTAATGATGGAAATGTCTTAGTAAAGACAGAAAAAGGTTAATGTTCTTGTGTTGTTATTGACGAAAAAGAATCATTACAAGTTTGAT